TAAAGAAAAAAAATATGTAAAATTGAAGAAATGGCGCGCTTTTAAAGAAAAACTTTGAATTTTATTGAAAATTTTTGCAATGTTTTGGAATAAAAAGGACTTTAATGTTCAATTTATTTCATACTTTTAGGTTCATATGTTAGATAGTATTGTCATGGATATGTGAAAAAAATTTGAGCGCGATTGATAAATTAGTTTTTGAGTTATCAGCCACACCAATTGTAAACTCTTCATATGCCGTTAATTGATTTCTGAATAATTATTATAAGCGTCGCAGGTATGAGCGTGACGCGGTTACAATCACCGCCGTAAGGAACATAGGCTTTTATGGCCAATATTGTTAAAATATAATTTAATTTAATTCTATTTTCTTAGTTTCTTAAAAAATCCCAATGTTTCCAAAAATTCCAAATATTTTATTTAGATTGAAGACTTTACGCCTGTAAAAGTATGAAAGCTCTATTGGCCATAAAAGCCTACATATGATCCTTACGGCGTTGATTATAATAACCGCGTCACGTTCATACCTGCGACGCTTACAATAATTATTCAGTAATCAATTAACGGTATATGTAGAGGTATAAAAGGTCTAAAATATTGTAAAAGATTGTAAAAATAATGATATTTTTAATAAAAATGCTGATTGCCCCTCTTCACAGGAGATGGTTTTAAATTATATATTTAATAAACATTGCAACAAACAACAAATTCCAAAAACACGTATCTTCTATTTTTGTCCATAGTTTACGTACACGAAGTTGCAAAAAACTAGATCAACATTTAGTGCAAAAATTTAAACAAAAATTATAAATTTTCAAAATATTATTTAAACAAATAAAGTTTATTGAAATTTTTTTACGCACAAAAATTCCCTATTTAAAGACGAACAATTTACAGAAAAAAAAATCCAATTATCTTCTTTAATCTCGGAGATATTCCCAAAAATATGATTTCAACCCCCAACTTCGAGGGCTATTTTCACCTCTTCAATATGAACGATGGCCGATAAAAAAAAATACGTATCAAATATTTTCTTGAGAACTATCTTTCACATAAGTTTCATTAAAATCGGTGTGTCGCGGTTCGATATGTATCCTTGTAAATTAAAGCGAGTGGCATCATGTAAATTATCGATTTCTTAATACATTTATTTTTGCCACTTAAATATGAAAATTCAACAGTATTAGTATATCTATATCAGTATAGCTGTGTTCAGAACCAGTAACGAACATTAGATTCATATCCAAGTTTACCGTGCTAAATAAATTAAGTTAGTTACGATATAAATCAGCAACTCTACAACTTTTAAAAGCCTTTTACCCTATACAGTAAAGAAGGTTTTATGTGATGAGTGTTTCCTTCTTCAGTTAACCGCCGATCCTATCGCGAACTTGAAGTGACCGTCGAAGAACCGTAAGGCATGCCTTGAGGTAGGCCTATACACGAAGAAATTCAGCCTCAAAGGGTCTCTAAGTACTTATGCCATCGGGGATGGGCTGTTTTAGGTTTTTCTAAAGTAGATCCGTCTGCAATCCACTTACAAGGGACACTGATGTCCTTCACATCTAGGCAGCCGTTTGAGTAGTTAACTTGATAGCTTAAGGCTGTGGACACACCGGCGTTGAAAATGCATCTTTCAAGTTGAAACCTT